TTCGTCTGAAGCTTTTCACCAAAACGTTCGAAAGAACTTTGAATCGAATATTTGAATTCCCTGGGACCCCCAAAGTTCAAATATGTAGAGACGAATTTTCTGAAATCTTTCTTGATCAAAATGACTTCAGAAGGCCGCCGATGTCTGACCATTAAGCGGGGTAGAAGTTTAAAAAAGGATACCGTTGGCAGTCGTTGGCACAGAGCTGTGCTTTACAGGGTAGTTAGGCCTACTAGACCTTTATGTCACAATAGACCAAGGTTGTCTATTGGATGCGCTTTAAGAGTTACAAACCCTCAAAGTTGGGGTTTTGTCACTTAAACATCAACCTTCACCCTAGGGTTAACCCTCTCTAAGTCTTGGTGGTCCAGTGGTTTGCGCACTTGCCAGGCAACTTTGAGTTCCCTGCTTCGACTCCCTGTCTAAGCTTTTTGAAAAATTATTTTTGTGCTAAGGCAAACACTGTCTTTTCTATCATGTAAGGCATACGAAAGAGGTCTGTGAAGTCTAGAATGGCCTAACCCTAGCTGAAACCAAATCGTCCACTTTAACCCCTTTAGAGTGAGGTTCTTTTTTCCGGACCATTTTGTGTTGAGCAGATGCGTAACGAAGTGCTCTTTCATTTCATGTGCGGAAACCATAGCTTGGAACAAGCTTTAAGCCTTTCCTGAGCTAACCCTAATTGATTTTATCAAAACTAGGCTTAACCCCAACCTTAACATTTTGCATAATTTGATCCCCACACTTCACGCTAGCATATACAGTTTCATCCTGTTACATCCGCTGTATATTCCCTTTCTAACCTCAAGTTATTTTCATTATGCTCCCCCACTACAACAACCACTGGCAAGAAGCCAGACATAGAAACACTAATCGTCAACCAAACCAATATCACGTACCCTACAACGGCCCTGTCTTCCATCGACCTCTACCACCTACCAATCGCCGACCACCAACCAACCCACCTAGCTATATCCCACCCCATCGCCGACCTACTCACAACACCTACCAATCAAGAGGTAACCATCGACCTGACTAACAACAGAAACGACTACCAGCCCACCGACGCCAACTAGTCCCCACTCATAAGGAGGAAGAACCCTTTGTGAAGGTGTTCTTCCAAGTTTTGCAGTGCCTCCATTATTTGGCAATCCTTACCCTTCAACAACAAGGCCAACCAGCGTTTACCTTCAAACGCAAAGTCTCTGAGTTGGATAGTTTTATCCGTCCAGCGATGAAAACATCAGCTGTTGACGCGAATATTAGATCCCTCAATCGGACATGGCTCTCTAAGGTTACGCAGGTCCTGATCGACCATTACCAAACCACACTTCAAGAGAAGCTGACCACCATTCGTACCAAGTCTTTATCATCACCTGCCGTCGACCGCATCGTTTCTCATGCCCTGTCCTGGGCCCGTCGCTCCTATGGGAAACGTCTCACTCAAGCTGTAATCACCAAGTTGTACCAAACAATCAACGAAACAAAAACCAGAGTAACCATATCTCTACCAACTGAAATGGACACTACACCTGCACCATCTAGAGCCACGACGCTGCCGAACCAAACCCCTAAACGAGCCCGAAGTTCACCTACTCCTAGTCCAGCAGACATAGGTAAACGCTCTCGTAGAGAGGGCACTCCTCTCTTTTCACTTTCAGGCTCGTCTTCCCCTTCCACACCATCTGAATCTTCACCACGTGATCCAGGATCCGCCAACCTTTCTTCCTTCTGTGCGTTTTTGGACCAGCAAACCACCCCTCAGTCTCCATCCAAGTCGAGACGTGTATCCAGACCTTCCCCCCCCCCCCCCCTCGAACCAGATCCCAGTCCGTTCCCAATGTTACAATTCTAACAACTACCAAACCAGTACCAATCACACCGTCGACGACCATTATATCCGCTACCAAACCGTATTATCACCAAACCAAGGACAAATCATTATGGAAGCTACCCGCTCTAAGAAATCTACCTTAATTATTGGATCATCTAACCTGAATCGAATTACCAAAACCAGTTCAGACACTGAAATACATTCTTACCCCGGTGCCCAAATCCATCACATACAGTCAATCCTGGAATCATACGACCATGATCCCAAACCTACTACCATTATTCTTCATGTAGGTCTCAACAACCGTGATCAGCTACCAAAGACCTCCTTTAACCAAGCCCAGAAATTAATCGCCACAGCCAACAAAACCTTCCCAATCTCAAAGATCCTCTTCACATGTATACCCATTTCAAATAAAATCTCGAAGAAAGCACAACAGAACCTCAGCACTCTCAACAACATGATGATGAAGTCCAGTATCAACAGCGCAACAATATTACCACCCTACGAAGAAGAATTCGAACCAGTTGATAATCTCCATTGGTCTCCAGAAACAGCAAACAGCATTTATTTGTTTTGGATACACCAGCTTCAAGCATCGAGTAAGTCTTTAAACTAATTACTGGGGATAAAAATACTGAGAGGCCACCGCTAGGCCAAACTGTAGTTAACTTGAGCCGTAAAATTCTCACACCCCTTCAGCATTCAATCTTAGACCGTGGACTTAAATTTATTCCCACACCAAAGATAGCTAACTTGAATTATCTCCGACCATCCATTGAACGATTTCAACGAAATCTTAGCTGCACATATTTTTTTCGAAACCACCCCCCACGTGGTGCTAGAACAATGTTTATTCCTAAATCCACGTGGACACCCCCTCAGGCCGCCATCCATCCTGAAATACTGAAATCATTTGCGAGTATGAATAGCCAAACAGTGAACCTTCCAT